TGTTTGTCTGTGTGTAAGTATGTTTGTTTCGATGTGTGTGTGTATTTCTGTTTGTGTGTACAGTATGTGTGTGTATATGTCTGCATGTGTGTGTGTGTGTGTGTGTATTTATATATGTCTTGGTGTGTGTGTGTGTGTGTGTGGTGTGTGTGTGTGTGTGTGTGTATGTCTGTATGTGTGTGTGTATATGTCCTGGTGTATGAGTGTGTATCTGTCTGTAAGTGTGTATGTATACACATCCCGGTGTATGTGTGTGTTTGTGTGAATATGCATGTCTCACTGCATGTGTGTGTACATGTCTGTATGTGTGAGCGTGTGTGTATATGTCTTGTTGTATGTGTGTGTGTATGTGTGCGTAAATACAGTATTTATATCTATCTCTCGGTGTGTGTGTTTAGACATCGATGAGTGCCGGACGGGCCGCAGCACCTGTGCGAACGACACCGTGTGTTTCAATCTGGACGGCGGGTTCGACTGCCGCTGCCCTCACGGACACAACTGCAGCGGAGACTGCATACACAACAGCAGAGTCCGACACAACGCTCAGATCTGGGTGCTGGACACTGACCACTGCTCCGTCTGCTCCTGCCAGGTCAGAACACACACACACACACACACACACACACACACACACACACACACACGTGTTTTTTTGAAAAGTGGGGACATTACACAGGTTTCCATTCATTCTATATTTATTATTAGGTTGTGTCAAAGTGGTGACGTCCACACAACGTCAAGGTGTAACATGATTAGACGTTGAAATTTGGTTGATTTTAGGTTGAACAGTGACGTCGGCCTGACGCTGGGCTTTGGGAAACTGGCTTTCGCTTGATTTCTTACCTCACATGTAGGCTGATTAATCTGGATGTGATTCAAATGTCGTGGGACACAAACAGACTCAAGCAACTTTGCCATGCTTGAAGCTTGGAGCTAGAATAATGAAAGTTCGCGCTTAACACAAACTCCTTTAATTAATCTGCCTCGCCATTATGGTGGTACTCAAAAGTTTGAGAACCACTGTGATAGTAAATATTAAATAAAACTAAATAATATTGTATTTATATTATATAATTAGACCATATATTATATTATTAACTAAACCTTTATTAAAACATTAATTAAAGCAAATGTTTAATTATTTCAGGATTATTTACTTGATAAAAATCTCAAAACTATAACATTATAAAATAAAATGCAAAAACACTACAAAAATAGTCATGTGTTAATTTAATTATACAATTATAATGTCAATAATCCTTTTTAAATACTATGATATCAATATTTACTAAATAATGAACACAATATTGGATGCATTTACTCTTCAGTAAAAGCACTGATGAGTGTTATAATGAGCGGCTGCGGTGGGTTATTTCTGCGTATTTCAGTGTGTGCATGTGAACAGTTTGTGCGTAATGAAGGAGCGTTTGCTGAAGGAGAAACGCACTGAAGCGCTCGACTCACATTTCATTAAAGCCATTGACCTCCATCAATTTGGCTGGTCACAGTCTCTAATTAAGTCTTTAATTGAAATGTTTTCTTGCATCTGGAGGAGCCGATGAGCGCGACGCGTCTCAGATATTAAAGAATCAATCCAGCAATTAGGGCGCTCGTAGTGAAGGACCGAGAGCGAGAATCAGCCTTAATGAGCCGCCCGCCGTTAATTAATGTGAAGAGCGAGAGCTGTCAATCAAACTCTGATCTCAGGTCAGTCTGGAGGAGACTCTTCACTCACAGAACAGCAAATCACAGCAGCAGTATATGAAGATTACACTCTATATAGAAACTAAATTAGCTGCGTAAAAATCTATATTAAATCAAAAATATCGTGTCATTTAAAAACACATTATATCATCTAAACTTGTATTTTATTTTAGTTTTTAATGTCCAATAAATGTCATATTACACAGCAAATTCCAAACCCTGTAACTTTTTATGATAATAACATCAATTATTATTAAAAAATACGTAACAGTATTATATATATATATATGTGTGTGTGTGTGTGTGTGTGTATAATTGAGTGTGCACATGTATATAATCAAATGATCGTGTTTGTGTGTGACAGGAGGGTCAGGTGAAGTGCAGACGGATGGTGTGTGACTGTGAGAACCCGACGGTGGATGTGTTGTGCTGTCCTGAGTGTGACCCGCGCCTCACCTCTCAGTGTCTGCATCAGAACGGCCTGCTCACCTACAGCAGCGGAGACACCTGGATCGACAGCTGCCAGCGCTGCCAGTGTCTGGTGAGAGAAACACACACACACACACACACACATTAACCATACACATATTAAACATAACACTTAGACATCTGCACAAACTCACAAAGAAACATACTGACAAACTCACACACGCACAGAAATTCACAGACAAGGTGTGTGTCTCTTTAAATGCAAATGAGCTGCTGATACCTGCCCTCTTTTTGTGAGAAGTGTAGAACTGTTCACACATGACATGAATTTTTGAGCAGAACTACAAACTCGGGGGAAATGTGTAAAAAACTACAAACCCGAAAATACATTTGATCATTTTTATCTTCCGTTTGGTTTCATTTTAATTTCTTATATATAAATTTGTGTGTGTGTATACAGTTGAAGTCAGAATTATTCGCCCCCCTTTGAATTTGTTTTTCTTTTTTAAATATTTCCCAAATGATGTTGAACAGATTGAGGAAATGTTCACAGTTTGTCTGATAATATTTGTTCTTCTGGAGAAAGTCTGATTTGTTTTATTTCAGCTAGAATAAAAGCAGTTTTTAATTTTTTTAACACAATATTATGGTCAATATTATTAGTGCCTTTAAGCTATTTTTTCTCGACTGTCTCCAGAACAAACCATCATTATACAATGACTTGCCTAATTCCCCTAACCTGCCTAATTACCCTAATTACCCTAGTGAAGCCTTTACATGTCACTTTAAGCTGTATAGAAGTGTCTTGAAGAATATCTAGTCTAATATTATTTACTGTCATCATGACACAGAGAAAATAAATCAGTTATTAGAGACGAGTTATTAATTACTATTACTATTATTATTAGAAATTATATATATATATATATAGAGAGAGAGAGAGAGAGAGAGAGGGGGGGGGAAAGAAGGAGAGCAGATACACGCACACACACATGAACAGTAAACACACATACATTGACACTCACACGTGCGCACACACACACACACACACAGCTGTCTGAAATTGATATTGTGTTGAGCTGCTTTAAAGGTCAATGCGATGAAGTCTCAATATCACACATTACTGGAGATCTGTTTTCTGAAGCACAACACACACACACGCACACGCACAAACCTGCGCACACGCACAAACATGCGCATGTCCTGTATATTGTGGCAAAAACAGCATCTAAACTTGCAGCTATTATTATTATTATTATTAATATATTATTGTGGTATCTGATGCAGAATGCAATCAAATTTCTTAAATGTGCATAATTGGAATTTATATAATGAACTGTAAATGATTTTTCTGCTACTACTGATGTGTTTCTGCCATTTAAAGCCTAAAATAAGTCTCTTGTGATTGAGAACACTGGTCATTTGTGATTTCTGAAAGTGAACTCATCAAGGGTTAATGAGCAGCGCAGACTGAACTGTGAAGGTGGAGTTGGTTAATCTCCGTTTGCAGAGTCATTTTTATTTTACTTTGTTATAAACAGCGACACGTGCAGAAGGGGGTTTGGGCCCTTTTTCTCCATTGGAGAGAAAGTTCCCCTTAAAATGAAAGTGCTGCCTCCTTTGCGAACGGATCTCCTATCCGCAACACACCCAACGCTCTTCAGCTTAGCGATCAAGCCATGCCCTAATCCTTATCCAGATTGGTTAAAACCCCAGTTTTGCCTTTAATTTTTTTTTCCAAAATGAACAGCGAACTGTCTGTGGTACAGTAATCGCTCTGAGTGCTGTTCTACTGCTTCTGAGGAGCAGATGATGTCTGCAGCACAGAATGATGACGCATGTTGCTCCAAGATTGTGTAGAAGTCACATGAAATCCGACATCACCGTTCACACTGCAGAACATCAGATCTGTGTCTGATTGAAGACTACATATGAAAGCGGCTCAAATCTGAAGTGAAAAGATCAGACTCCATGCGCTTTGAGCTGTTCACGCTGTCATTACCCGAGTCACATGTGGGCAAACAAATCAGATTCGGGCCACATTTGCCTGCAGTGTGAACGTAGCCTAAGTTTTACGTGTTTCCCTCCTTACATGCAACTTTAGTAAAGCGTCTGCTTCATGTTGCTGGGTCAGAATCCTTGCTTGTTAAACACAGCCATACTTTAAAAGTATGATGATGTGATCATGCATGTTGATGAATCTGAAGGGAGTCGCTCGCTGGATGCGCTGCACTGCGTGCGTTACCTGCGTACAAGCAACAAGAACAAATGCAAGAACAAACATCGCCGACGGTGTCTGTAATCCTTCACAAATGTTTAGAGATGGTGTGACAACACGTACCCATGAATGTCTTTGTTACATAGGTACGGGTTTCAGTACCAGACCCTAGTGGGCTTAAAAATCAGAGTTTTCACTTTCATAATGGTGTTGGGTTCAGGGGGAGAGCCATATAACCAGCAGTTTTTACAGTATTAAATATATTACACCTAAACAAGTGTGTGTGTGTGTGTGTGTGTGCAGCAAGGTGAGGTGGACTGCTGGCCTCTGTCCTGCCCGCCGGTGGACTGTGACTTCACGCTGGTGCCCGAGGGCGAGTGCTGCCCGCGCTGCGTCTCGGACCCGTGCCAGGCTCACGCTGTCCGCAGCGACATCAGCAAAACCTGCATAGACGAACACGGCATCACACGCTTCAGCGGCTCAGCGTGGGTCAAACACGGCACACACTGCACACTGTGCCAGTGCAAGGTGAGGAAACAACATGATTATTTATAATGGAAAACCTCAATTATCTACATTTATTTGATTATATTTATACACATACATATATATATATATATATATATATATATATAGAATTATATTTAAATATATATATTTTTATTGCAGGAATAAATATACATTTGCATGCGATAATAAGAATTAATGTGGAATTAAATTATAAAAAACAATGCACTTGAATACATTTCAATAAAATAAATGATTAAAAACTTACATTTTATTAATAGAACTATATATTTGTTATATATAATACAATATATATTAAATATCTAATATATACTTGTATTACTTTTTTAAATAGTCATTTTTATTTAAGTGAAAGTGTCTGTATATGAGCTTCTGTATTATTTATTTACATTTATTGGATTTTAGGTTTTATACTATTATTTTTTATACAAATAGTCAGAATACACGTTTATTCAAATACAATTATTGTGCAATAAAATATATCAAAATAAAAGTATTGTTTTATTCGGCTATTTTAATAAAATATAACTACATAACTACTTTATAGTATTACAAATTAAATCAGGACTTGACGTTAACTTTTTTGAACTCCAGCCACTCATACAAGCCACTCTGAATTTCCACAAGCCACAATTCTGTTGTAAAAAAATCTTTTATAAATGCATAAACATGACTTTGACATGGTAAAATACTTGATTTAGATTTTGTGTTTTGTCCACATGCCTCCTCATGCATGTCACTTTTCGTGTGTCGTGTATAAGCAAATGGGTCAGGGTTTCATAGTGTTATATCGCGATTAGTTTTTATTTCAGATGACTTTTTCAGAACTCAAAATTAAGGATATAACAAATTTATCTCTGACCACTCCAAACAATGATTCTTTCTAGCCACAAATGTTAAATGTGTCAAACAATACAGCTGTATACTATACGTTTTATTTAAGAAAACACTTCTTTAAAAAAACGAAGAAAAACAATTGACTTTTTAAAATAAAGAATTAATGTCATGTATCTAAAAGTACTCGCTCACATGGTTAATTAATATCTGTTCAAAGCGAAAGCAACCGATGCTGCTCACATGAAGAATTTGGGGCTCTTGAAAGCAGCAAGACTGTGGGTGCATAACTTTTTGTCTAGCCTATTTGAAAGAGAATCGATTCGTTGCATTTCAGGCACGGTTGCTTCACGCAAGGAAATGGGAGCGCGCACGTTTTAAACAGTTGCATGCAACACATCAGCTGTTGGCACGAGTGATCATCCTTTCATTCAGCATTCACCTGCTTTTTTTTGCTGACGCGAACACTAGTAGTTTTGTCAGTCGTGCTGTTTCTCAATTCTAAGATCACATTTGCACACATATTGGGTCATCCTTACAGTCGAACACTTCTTTTAAGAAAACTACCATTTAAAAATTATTTTCAACCAGCCAAAGTGGCTAGTGAGAGTGTCTGTCTAACCTGCCGAAACTGAAATCTACCCGCATTTAGCGGGTGTTAATGTCAGGCCCTGAATTGGACTATTGTGGTATTCTAATGCAATGAAATAAAAAGGAATCAAATAAAATAGTTATATTGCATGTCATTTTATTGCTTGCATTCCATTTGCTTTTAATGCAAGAGAAACATTTTAATTGCATTTTTGTTATTGCATATTATTAAAATAATAAAACTAAAATATACAGTGAAATACTTCTGTATTATCATTATAATGATATTTTTAAATTAACAAATGGTTCAGTTATATTTCCTGTATTTATATATTATTTATTATTAATTATTTTTCATATGCTATAAAATATAGCATGTTTAAAATTCTAGTTTATTTTGATTGATAGTTATTATTATTATTATAATATCATCTTTATTATTATTGCATTGAAATAAACAGCATGTTTTGAACTGAGTTTAAACTGTAATATTATTATGACTGATGTTTTCTCCATGTGTCTGTGCTGCAGAATGGACACGTGTGTTGCTCAGTGGACCCCATGTGTCTTTAGTGTCTGCCGAGCACCTGTACAGCGTCTCACACACACACACACACACACACACACACACACACACACACACACACACACACACACACACACTCGTCCACATCCCTCAATAATGCCAAAAAACACACACACACACACACACACACACACACACACACACACACACACACACACACACACCTGTAAAATACCAGAGCGACGGCCGTTTCTGCACAACCAGGACTGAGGACACACCGCCGGCATGAACACACTGGATGTTGAAGAAAACACATTTTTATCCATCGCAGGATGTAGAAACTTTAGCTCGTAAGTAAATCTAATCGTATTTCTCTTTGGCCGGGAAGTCGACGGCGTTTCCTGTTTCCACGGCAACTGTTTATTTTCAGTTTCTTTGAGATTAGCTGTCTGTTTTTTCTGTCTAGATTTTCAATTATTCAATGGCTTGTTCTTGTCTTATGGTGAATAAAATCTCTCCATTTCCATTTATGGATGCGTTGACCTTTCTTCCCCCCCCCGCGGTGGTGGCGATGCGAGGCGTTTGCTGAACGTGTGACTCTGCTAATGCTAATAGGTGATCAGCGCGCGTGTGCTAATGAAACCGCTTCCAGTGACCTTCTCCGTTACCTGAAACCTCTTCATTATCTGCAGAAGAGGCCGAAAACCTGCATTTGTGTTTCCGGGGAAATGTGGTTGTTAGATCCACGCAAGTTTTCCCGCTGGTTTGTTCGGCACATTACAGGGTATATATTCAGCTGAAACATTTATTCATTTTCCTTCGGCTTACTCCGTTTATTTATCAAGGATCACCACAGCGGAATCAACCGCCAACTATTCCAGCATATGTTTTACACAGCGGATGCCCTTCCAGCTGCAACCCAGTACTGGTAAACACCCATACACATTCATTCACACATACACAACGGCCAGTGTAGTTGATCAGTTCCCCTATAGCGCATGTGTTTGGACTGTGGGGGAAACCGGAGCACCCGGAGGAAACCCACACCAACACGGGGAGAACATGCAAACTCCACACAGAAACACCAACTGACCCAGCCGAGACTCAAATCAGTGACCTTCTTACTGTGAGGCCAGAGTGTGACACCACTGAGCCACCGTGTTGCCAACTGTGCTAGGATGATGAAACCTGAGTAATATTGAGTAGGGGCGGGGTTTTATATTTAAGCCCCGCCTCTTATCTTTTATTCACAGCATACAGCTTGTTTGGAGGGGGTGTGGCTAAGAATATTTTACCCAATCAGAGTCATCAGAGAAGGACTGCTGCTCTAGAGCAGAAGCACATGTGCAGATTTTGATTAAAGATGAATGTTTTTAACAGGATTAATTTACTGATTAATTATTTACCTTAATACAATGCATTAGCAAAATAAACTATGTACATTTGATTTTATGTAGACTCTATAAAGTATTTGTAATTTAAAGAAAAATGCATGTCAATTACAGTTTAATTCGTTTTTCATGTTTATTTTAGAGTTTTTGGGGGGAAAATTATGATTTTTTTTATTAATATTTTAGATTTGGAGTTCAGTTTCGCCAGAGTTGTTCTCCATCTGCATTTCCTGCGGGTCAATTCTTCTCAGTTATACTACGTCCTTAAAGTATGTGCTTATTGTGAACAAAAAGCCCATACTATTGAGTGTGTAACAGGAGTGTGTTCAAGCTTTGGGACACAACACTTCCTCATTAATGGACCATGCTGTTGCTTAGTTACAGCGCCCTGTCAATCATCTCGTCACATTTCTGTCATATTGGAGATTTCATAGCAGCTTCATCTGACATTCGTGAGTCTTTCATGCACAGAAATCTCTGAAGTGTTTGCATGATCATGCATTCAGATGTCCAAACATGTCTTTATAAAAATTCACAATCTAGTTGCAAATAAATGAACAATCACATGCTCTCCAATGAATTAGTCTGCCATTTTTGTAGTTTGTAAACACTTTTAAACCATCTTTGCAGTTGCATTCACATCTAAAGTATTGTGACGTTATTAGCCGTTAAATATTAACATTGGCACAAACCGACACTTCTGATTTCTACAACATTAGTAGAGCATCCAGGTAACTGCATTACTCGCATTCAATGATTTGGAGCAGGGGTGCCCAAACTCAGTCCTGAGGGCCGGTGTCCTGCAAAGCTTAGCTCCACCCAATCAGACACACCTGGGCGAGCTAATCAAGCTCTTACTAGGCTTTCTAGAAACATCTGTGCAGGTGTGTTGAGGCAGGTAAAATCTGCAGGACACCGGCCCTCCAGGACTGAGTTTGGCCACTCCTGATTTGGAGACACACTAATTATATTTTTGAAAACCAGTTAGCACAGAGAATTAAGGACAAGGAATTAAGTATTTGCGTTAGTAAATTACATACAAAGTCAATGCAAACGTAAATAGAGATGCACTACTAACTGCGTGTCATGAAATATGCGGAATGCATAACACATTAGCTGTGAATGCACAAAATTTGCCTAAATTAAGTTCAAATAATTAAACTCGAGGAGAAAAACATCCCCTGAGTAAACTAGAGCTAGTGACACAGTTAACCCAGCTTTAAGAATCTTTATAGTTATTAATACTCTGTCATTTATATTAAATAAGCTGTGTATAATGCTTACAGTGGTGTTAGTGATGTATTGTACGCATGTATGTGAGAGGCATGCATTATTTAAGCATTATTGCGCTAGTTTTGTTGCGAACACCTGGCAACCCTGTGAGGAGCAGCGATTTCCTCTGCCGCATCCTGCTCCTGTAGGTTTTGAATATTACATGAATATTCAGCAGAGCGTCAGGCGGCCTCATGAATATTAAGCAGGCGTGGAGGTCGTTGTGGGAAACACGGCTGCTTTCCTTCAGGTCAGCGTGTGGAAGTGTTTTAAAGACGCAGATATCAGTCACAAACTGCACTCGCTGACGGCTAAGAAGCGCATTATCTTCATTCGTGGCACTCTTTGGCTAATGCTTCATGAATATTTAAATAAAAGTTTGTGGAAAAAGCATGTGTGAAACAGAACAGGAAATGTTTAGCCGTATGGTTACACCGTTTTTTTGTTTGTTTGTTTTTTCATGGCCAATATTATAAAATTGGATGATCATGAATGTTTTTCAGTCTTATAAATTTACTAATATTTTACTGATATTATAACCAATCATGCAATTAAGATTTGCAAAAATTTCTCATTATTTCTAACAATTTTAAGTACACAAGTACCTTTTTTTGTAATTTAAAATTTAAAGGTCGTAATTCTGACTTTTTCTTGCAATTTGAACGTTTTTTTCTCTGTACAATTACGAATTTATTTCGACTACATTTCAACTCTGCCGATTTCTCAAGTCAGACTTGATATTTTTTACTATTGTGTGTTTATTATCTGTTTCTTAGTTTATTATTTTTCACATTAGTAACTTTTTTACGCAAGGTTTCAATTCTAGCTTAATATCTCGCAAATCAGACTTCATCGTTTTTATAACTTTGTTTATCGGCTGTCGCACTTCTGATCATTTTCACAAGTTTGTTATTTTTTATTCAAGGTTTCAATTCTAACTTAATATCTCGCAATTCAAAATTTATTTTTTATAATTGTGTGTTTATCAACTGCTGGACTTCTTTTTTTTACTTTTTCATTTTTTAAAATTTTTTCCTCACAACTCAGACTTATTATTTTTCAAATTTGAGTTTATTTATTGTCTGCAATTTAGACTTTTTCCACACAATTACAAACTCATTGTTTATGTTTTTAGTAGTATTTATTTACTATACAATTTTTTATTATTTAATATAAATTTTTTTTACACAATGTGTCGATTCTAATTTAATATCTTGTAATTCAGACTTTGTAGTTTTTATATTTGTGTATATCGGCTGGCGCACTTAATAATAATTTTCTCACGTTTTTTCTTTTTTTTTTTACTCAATGTTACAATTCTAACTTAAAATCTCGCAATATAAACTTGATATTTTTCCGAACTGTGTTTATCAGCTGATTATTTTTCACACGTATTATCTTTTTATGCATTGTTTTGATTGTAACTTAAAATCTTGCAATTCAGACTTTATATTTTAATAATTGTTATTATCAGACTTCTGTTCATTTTTTCACTTTATTTTTTACGCAATGTTTCAATTTGAACTTAATATCTCTCAATTTAGCACTTACTATCTGGCAAATCAGACTTCATAGCTTTTATTGTGTGTTTATAAAGCCTAATCTCACAGGGAAACGTAACTACTTTACGTTTGTACAAAAATGTACGATTTTAAAAATGAGGCGAGGCACCCAACCCCGCCCCTAAACCCAACCGTCAAATCGCAAAAAAATTGTACGAATAAGATCATAAAAAATTCATACGAATTAGCCATTACATCAAAAAGTTATGATTTGCCATGAGATTATTCTGGTTGAGCGTCGCAATTCTGATAATTTTTATATTTTTCACATTTGTGTGTTTATCAGCTGTAGCACTTCTGATAATTTTTATATTTTTCACATTTGTGTGTTTATCAGCTGTAGCACTTCTGATAATTTTTTCACTTTATTTTCTACGCAATGTTTCAATTCGAAATTAATATCTCTCAATTCAAACTTAATATTTTCACTATTGTTTGTTTATTTGTTGATTATTTTTCACATTTGTTACTTTTTTTACACAGTGTTTCGATTTGCACTTACTATCTCGACCAAATCAGACTTTATATTTTTTATTGTGTGTTTAACCAGCCTGATCTCATGAGGAAACGTAACTACTTCACGATTCGCCAGTTTAGTGGCTAATTCGTATAAAAATGTTCAGTCGTACGAAAATGTACGATTTTAAAATGGAGGCGAGGCACCCAACCCCGCCCCTAAACCCAACCGTTACTTGGGGGATGTGCAAATCGCACAAAATTGTACAAATAAGATCATACGAATTCGTATGAATTAGCCATTACATCAAAAAGCTACAAATTGCCATGAGATTGTGTTGGTTTATCAGCCGTCGCACTGATAATTGAAATATTCTTTTATATTTGTGTGTTTATCAGCTATCGCACTTCTGATCATTTTTTCACTTTTTTATTTTGTATTTCTAACTTAATATCTTGCTATTCACACTTTTTATTTTTTACAATTGCAAATTTATCAGCTGTTACAATTATGTCTTTCCAATGTTGGATAGCCGATGTTGCATTTTTCACTTTTTTTCCCGGATTGTTATTTCATGATGCTGTAATTCTGACTTTTTTCCGATCATTTCTGTCTCAATTCAGACTATATCCCATCATTCATCATATATATATATATATATATATATATATATATATATATATATATATATATATATTAGTTCATAAAATGAAACAATAAATAAAATATACAACACAAACGTGATATTTCTTAAATTGTAAGGAAATCCACTGGAAAACTAACCAATTCTTCAGTGACACTTAAAACATCACGTTTCCAGCATTTTATTGTGATGATTTCACTAAATG